TGGCGAGATGGAGGAGTTCAGCATCACAGACAAAACCTTAGGGCGCAGTCACTAAGCAGGATGCTTCCCGGTCCGGTGAAGCGTTTCTGTGGAAGCGTGGGCAACAGAACTACGGACCAGTAAACTCTGTGACTGCCAAGTAAACCTGGATGTGAGCAAGCACATCAAAATACCCATCATTCTGCTTAAATATGCTGTCAGACAGATCAGTGCCCACTGTTGAGTAATGGACAAAAATCCTTTAAAACATAACTTTCCAAATTGCTAAGAGTAATTTGAACTCGGTGTTATTATAGGTGATTAGTGAAGACCTCTGCTCAACTTTCTGCTGTGGTTTGTGACAAAGTACTTTAATGTTCTCGACTGCAGCACTGAGAATGCCATTTGTGGCAAAAAGAATGACATGTGTCTTGAGAAAGCCGGAAAGGTTTGCTAAGGAACATCAATGAAAAGATGTTATGTTCTTTGTATTTTCATGACTTGTCATAAAAGGAGTTCGTGAGCCAACAAGCAGGTGGTGCCTCATGGAAAGAAAGCAGGAAAGCAAAAGAAGGAGAGAAAATGTTCCCTAACATGAAGTGTGATTTCCTTTTTACGTTTCTGTCAGGAGGAAGTAATTTTAGCCAAGAAACCAATGAGACATGAGAAAACCATATAGGTGAGATGTAAGAAAAATAACTAATGCAAATTTGTGTTTCTGGTTTTGAGGCAGTGGCAAGGTCCTGCACGAGGTGGATGACAGCTGTCAGTCACTGTGGCAGTTTGTGTGTTTCTAATGGCCTGGACCAGGCAATCTGTAATCTAGAGAAGAAATTCCCAATTGTTGAGCCATCGGTGAGATCTAAACTTGGGCTTCAGTGAATAAAGTTTCCACATTAATTAGTTTAGACCCTTGCTGAGGCAGCTAGTGCTGGAAATGGGAATGATGGATATGCTGGGGGCAATGGTGGAGCTGGGAAAAGCAGTGATGAAGAGGAGCGATTCTCCTGGTTCTTCCTCTCCTGCACGTGTCAGATGCTTGTCACCCAAGCAGCACATGGTGAGAATTGCAAGGAGGGAGGACAGCACTTCAGCTCAAGGTGTGCAGCAGAAGTCTCGCAGTGGCATGGGAGGTTTGAAAGGTCTCAGAAGGCAGCGTCCTTGAGAGTGGCGAGAGGAAAGCAGAAACAGAAGGAAAGGGCAGTTAACCACAGTTAGAAAAGCTGAAAATTACTGCCCCACAGGGACAGTAGAACCCTTTTTGGTTTGCTTCAGGCAGAACAAGAGAGTAAAAGTTCTTTGGCTTTTAGAACATGTTGCATATGTTAACCCAGGGTTTTCCTGGGCCTTGATGAAAGTGCCATTTTTTATGGAAAGATTTTGTGTGTGGAAAGAGGAGATCGTACTTTATATATATTAAGGAAAATCAGTGGCATTCAGGATAAATAACTGATACTATTTCTTCTCAGATATCCAGGTTGTTACAAAAGGATGCAGAGCAAGAATCCCAAATGAGAGCTGAAATTCAGAACATGAAGCAAGAACTCTCAACCATTAGTATGATGGATGAGTTTGCTAGATATGCCCGTCTGGAAAGGAGGATTAACAAAATGACCGACAAGCTTAAAACTCACGGTAGAGTGCAATGTTTCCTCCCTTTTCTAATTTCTGCAAAACATTTTGTCAGCTTTTTTCTTCCCCTTGTTATAAATCCCTTGTTATAAATTTCCACTATTGCCTTTTTTTTTTTTTTTTCTTTAGACTTCTTGGAGAGTTTGCTTTTCTCTCTCAATTATGTGTAGTTCAGCATACTCTGATAAGGGAGTGATTTAGGTGAAAACAGATTTCTTAGACGGAATTTTGTGGGCTTTACTATGTAATTATTTATTCTTTCTCAGTGATGCTTATCACTGAGTCACGTTTTCAGTAAGCTGAGGAAGTCCTCTGCTGTGTATCTTCACTGCAAAAGGACGCGTTGCTTGGCTGGGGCTACTTGGTTGGTGTACTACAAAATGGTAGAGAGAAAGCGTTGATCTCTAAGGTAACCACCTGAGATCTTCCCTGACATTCTGCCTTCCTGTTTGATCCTACGCTGCAGCTTTTGTGATAAAGCTGCCGTGCTTTCCCTTGATTAGGGTTTTATAGTAGTATAGTCTATCATCTTGTGGTAGAAAGTACACATAAACCTTTGGTACCAGAGCTTTTGCTCCTGTCTTTGCCCAAACTCACTGATCCTAACTGGATGGGAGGCTACTTCCTTTGTCTGCCACCTCTTTGCAGAACAGGTGGATGTTTATAGGCTCTCTGCTTGGGGAAAGGACAATATTTACAACTAACACTTTTGAATTGCTTTCAGTAGCATAATTCTTAACCCAAGAATTTAAATTAAACTAGATTTGAGTGCTTTACTTAGCAACAAACAATGTTGTTTTAGAAAACTTTAGTCTACTGTAATGTTTGAAGACATGCTGTCTTCAACTGGGCTTCGTTATATTGGTCTGAGGTACTGTAGCAGAATTAAAACAGGCATGAGAATTTTTAATACTGAACCTGAGCAAAGTTCATTCAGTGAAGGAACAGTCAAAATTATGTTCCTGAATGAAATAAGGCAAAAAATGCATCTGCCAAAGCCATCATTTGCCCCTTTTAGGAAAGGCAAAAATTTAGTTCATGCTTCATCTAAAGCAGGTTCTTAAATTAGTAACCACAATGACTATTCTCACTGGGGAGTGGTTTTCTCGGTTTCGTGTGACATTTTTATGCCCAGGGTTATCAGTGTTTTGCAAATTTTTGTAGTAGCATTAATAAGAAACTACAGTGTAGTGTGGAGCTAGCACTGTCTTGCAGAAGGGTGCTTTCAATATAGTCATGAGTCATTTGAGAAGAGATTTTTAAACAGTGTAATGTCCTGATTTGGAGAGTGAAATATTCATAAATTACTAGTTTTATGTAAGTGTAATTGACTATTATAAATAATGCAAGGTAATATTTTTTTTTTCTTTTAACAGTGAAAGCACGAACTGCGCAATTAGCAAAAATAAAGTGGGTTATAAATATTGTATTCTACATCTTACAAGTAAGTAAATATTTTATTATGAATACAAATTACTAAACCAAATCCTCAGTAGCGTTACAATTCTCTCCTGCATTCACTGGCTCATGATTAATCACGTATGTGTTGGGCATTCCAGTGACACACTGCGTGCCACACCGAGAGAGATTCTTGAAGCAGAAGGGAGAGCTCTTGCTGATAAGGCCTGGTAGTTTTGGACAGAAGGAGGTAACCTATGTTTTTGAAAACAAAAGGTGCTTCTGCTGAGGATGGAAATCTCTCCTTGGAGCTGCCACGCATTTCCCCACAGTGCCCCGTCAGATTGTCTCTGTAGCTGAGACTTGATGCCAGAGCATTTTCTGCTCATAAGGATGACAGTTGTCAACGTGACAATGTCCTTAGGGTAACCTTAAAGCAAGTTGGCTTCCTAGCAGGCAAGGAATATGGCTAAAAACAGTAACTGGAATTTAAGTTACTTGTTTGTCCATGCTAGATTGGAGCAAAAGAAAGCAGCGTTTTCCAGCGTCTCACTGCTACCTCTTAATATTGTCTATTAATTGAAGGTCACACCAAGTTTAAAAATATTTTTAACTTACTTAAGAACAATGTAAAATAACAAACTATTCCCTTTCCTTAGCATTTTTTATTTACTGTATCAAAGTCATGGTGGAAATGTATTTTGATAGGTATTATTACCCAAGCTAATGGAAGTGTCCATTCTAGGCTGCCCTGATGATCTCTCTGATTTGGAAGTACTACTCTGAGCCAGTGACGGTGCTGCCGAGCAAGTGGCTGGCTCCGCTGGAGCGCCTGGTGGCCTTCCCCACGGGGCTGGCAGGTAAGGGCTGCACGCTGGAGAGCAGCAGCTCCCGAGCCCGCCGGGTGCTGAGGCCTGGTGACAAAGGGCACAGCGCTGCTCCTGTGTGCTCATCCTGGCTCCCCTAACACAGGGAGCAGTTCAGGCACTCCATGAGCTGTTTCCTGTGTACTCCTCGTGTTCATTTAACTGACAATGAAATGGGCTATTTGTCATTTTTATTTCTTCTCCAGCAGAGCAGATTTATCTTTATCTATATGGAGTAGAGCTTGGATAAAATATCAGATCAGATATGTTTTAATCTTAAGCAGTCAAAATAGCAGAATTTGGTTTAAAAATTAGCAAATACTTTGTAGGTCTGTATTGCTTACATGTGTTTCTATAATTTGCTGGGGTTTCGTAGTAGTGTAACTCCAGAGTGATTTAGCTGTGCTCTCTTTTGGCATATTGTCTCATCTGTTCCAACTTTTTTTGCCATCACACTTCTGTTCTGTTTTTACCTACTTAAATCCTGTCCTTTTGGGCAATTTAACAAAATAATGATCAAAATGATATCACAGGGTTGTGTGCACCTATTTTTGAGTGGAAAGTGTGCTGGTTTTATGGTAATAGGATAAGTAGACAAGCAGAATGACACATATAAATAGTATGGAAATTTACCTTCAAGCTAAAATACTGCTGGTGAATCTTGTAAGTCATAACTGCCTTAGAAGGAATTCCAAAGTATTTTGCTGGATTTGTATGTTGTTGTGTCTTTAATAGCTGTCTAGAGAATTATTTGTATCCAACATGCTTACTGGACAAGATAAGAGTCAGCTTCTGTGTGGGGTGGGGAAATAGTCCTTGGAAAAGGTTTATTTAAATAGCATTGGAAGGGATTTAAAGAGGTTCACATCCATGTCTGCCTTCAAAACTCCTTTTTTTGTTTTGGCTCATAATCACGGTGAAGAGAAGACTTTCGAATTCTAGGTGATAAATACAAAAATGTCCAAAAATCACCAAAAAGGTAATTCCTCCACGTGTGCACTGTGTATAGCTGTGTATTCTGTGACACTGTAGCGTGATCCTGTGCAGCCTGCAGCACAGGTGTGCTGGGTGGTACAGACTGGCCACACCCTCTGTTCTGTCACACCAATACAAATTTGGGTGCTGCTAGCTGGAGTGGCAGGACTCTTTGAAGCAGCAGTGCAAGGCAGCTGAGTCAGTAAGGAAGGTCTCCATAGTATTTTTCTCTATGGGGTGCAAGGGGAAAGGACAGGAGTATGGATTTAATACTTGTAAAAAGACTGGTTTGGATTTCAGAGAACATTTGCTTTTTACCTCTCTCAAATCTTGAGTTTAGGTTCTAGCAAAGTATTCTGTTACTGGCCAAGCCATGAACTGCAGCACATTGGCTTTGGGGTTATTGATGCAATGTCTTAAATCGTGTTTTATATCTCTTTCAGGTGGTGTTGGAATTACATGTTGGCTTGTAGTTTGTAATAAAGTTGTAGCTATCATGCTACACCCTTTCAGCTGAACGAATGCCCATAGTCCATGGAGTCAACTACATTTGAGTTATCACTGTTTTAAGATTACGCACACGCACACCAAAAAAAAAAAAAAAAAAAAATTCACGTGTCTTTTGTGAGACTAGGTCTGAGATAATCTTTTAATCTTTGTTGCTTCATTTGGATATCAGTCTATTCCTTTTTATTTATTTTATATTTCCTTAGATTTTCACTTTTCAAATAATAGCATTGCTGTTTACAGAACCTCGTTTTGTGACTTTTTTTCAACAAATATGAACACTGATTCGTGGCAGAACTGTGAGATTTTGTCATGGTATATATTAACTAAAATCTAAAAGAGTTGGATTTGTATTAAATTGGAAATATACTGGTGTTAGGAGATTTGCTGTTTCTTTGCTGTATAATATGGTAGTTTTATCTAAAGGTGGGATTATATTGGGTGACAGGTGGTACTAGAGACCAGAGTTAGGCAGTTTGGTTTGCTTAAGGTAAAACAGAATTAGTTTCTTCATTATTTTTTTACACTAGGATTGGTGTGTTCTTGGACTGTCTTAGAAAATGTGTTATTAATAAATGCACAGAATCAACTTTTTATCTCTTAAGAGACTCACCCAGTTGCCAAATACAGGACAGCTGGATACTTTTTCTTCTCTGACTTTTGAAATTCATTGAACACTTGATTTTTTTCCTACTTTTATTGGTTACTGACCTTTCCTTCCTTTACATTTTCCCTGCTTCCCAAACTAAGTGAGGAATTGAGCTTCATGAGTGCTGTTTCTTCAGAGGACTACATTTCGAAAGGGCTTTAGCACCCATTACTGACAATCCAGGATAGCCCAAAACAGCGAGGTAAATGTAAAAAGGCAAACTGGTGATTTTAATGTCTTAAAGTAGTAACAGAATGGTTGCAAGCAGGAGGAGGAAGGAAAAGATTTTTGGAGTAAAACCTTCTTGCTGTATTTAGATACAGGGAATTGCTACGATATTTTGAATTTAAAGGAGGACAGCATTGTTCCCTGTGCCTGTAGAACAGTGACAAAGTTGTGTTCTCTTCCTTGCTACAGTGACCTGCAACCCTGTCATTGCTGCCCCATACGACATACGGGTGCGTTTATGAAGTTCTGGTTCTGTGGCAGAACAAAGCCCTAGGGGACACCTTTCCCTCCCTCTTCTGCTGGGCTGGGGGATTCTGGTTCAGCTTCCTACTCTGTACAGCAGAACGCATCTGTTACGTTATTTCAGGTCCTCTGCCTTCCTGCCGGAAGGAAGGAGCTAGGGCCCCTTTGTGATTAGCACTGCACTTGGAAATCATGCATAAAGATGATGATATACTCTGTTTGTGTGTATATATGCATGAAATGCTTTGGGTTTTTTAAAATGTTAATTTCTTAAAAACATTGTTTTGTATTAGGGATTACATTTAGCTAACATGGAAATAGATGCATTAAATATCAAGAACAAAAAAGTTGTGATTGAGTGTTATATATCATTGTGGTTTTATTAACAAAAAAAAGCTTTTTAATCCATTCTAATACATTTTAAATGCTAACTACAGGTTTCCTAAAAACAAAACAAAAAATGCATAACCCAAACCAAGGACACCATCTCCCACCATGTTCTTGCATAAGGAGATACTTTTGGAATCAACAAGAGTTTACATATATATATGTGTATATAATTTTTTTTTAATAGTATTTGAGCCAGATTATTTAACAATGACGTTGACTAAAGATGTGGCAAATGATATTTCTACTTAGCTCATTCCAGAGTGAATGAGCTACTTTAACACAGTGAAGTCAAGAAAAGCAGCATCACTTGAAACCTTCGTAGTGGCCTTTGCAGGTTATCTGCGCTTAGCAGGAGGCCATCGAATACACAGTTTGTTGGCTGCTCTGGTCAAAACTTTTGGGTGAGTAAGGGCCAAAAGGCCTTTGGTCACCTGGTCAGTATGAACAGGGAGCGTTGTGTGTGCTTATTTGCTCTTTGGGGCAGCAGTCAAGGTGCTGTACAAGTATTAACAGTGCATAGAGGAGGAACACTGAATTCTGGCTGCACAAAGCCAGGCTTTGAAACCAGTCTGGTGTACAGCTTAAGCACTACTTCAGGAAAAAACCTTCCAAATTTTAAAAAGGAATCGCCACAAAAAGGCTCAGATCTAAATGTGTTAATCACCTTTAAAAGCTTTGGCAATGTAATTTTTTCAAAGCTGTGGATTTTTTTAAGTGCTACTGCCTTTTAAAATCAATAGAATAGACCTAACTTTCCCTAACTCCCCATCATTTTAGCAAGCGTTTCATCAGTTACTGCGAGGAACAAAACATAATCCTCCTACGCTCGCTTACATAACCTTAAACACAGGATTTTTAAAGGCTTTTTGAGAACTGGATATGCCTGACTTCTCCAAAACAATAGTTTACTCTTGCACATTCATCTTTGGATGTCAGCTGTGGAAGCTACCAGGCAAACTGCTTTGATAAATTCTAACAGTGGAAAAGAATGAAGCTGTAGAGCATTATAAAGCTTGTGAAAACAACGTAATAGCAAATTGTTTTTATTATGTGTGAATTCTGGAAGCTGTTTCAAGAGTCAAGAAAATAAAAAATTATTTTCTTTTATTGCATTGTTGGTACTAACCCAATAATGAACCTTATGAAAGCAGACTGCTCACTTCAGCTATCTAACAAATAATCAGCTTCAAAATTTAAACCACAGAGAGAATGCAAAAAAATGGAGATCACAAAACATGGACTAACATGGACACCTGATAACAGGTAAAAATGTCATAATTGTTAAGGCACTCTTCAGAAGATGCATATTACACATGGACCAAGGACAGAAGAATGTTCTTTTGTGACAACTGATTTGACTGTCATTCTGGAAAAATCATTGAAATAAATTCACAGTACTTGAAAGATTTAATATGCATTTAATGAAGGTATAAACACTGGGTTTTAAAAGAATGTTTTAAATGATCCATGCTTCTAGAGTAAAGCTAAGTTGATGTTCTTAATATGAAATAATTAGTTTGTGTATTCTCATGAGGTTATTCATGACGGCTTCATTAGTGTTAGATGCTTTACATTCTGAACTAGTAGTGGTGGTTTGAAATTTGGCTTGTGTAATCCTGCATCCTTCCACTTCTCTTTCTTCATTCCTCTCATGCTAGAACTTGAATGGTTGTCTCTTCAAACACAGCCTGGTCGAAAGAGTTCTTTCATAAGACTTTTTGCCTTTCAGCAAATGTCATATGAGCGCAGCCTTCCACTTCAGTGCAGCGGTCCTTCAGCCTTGTTTTGGTAACTTTACCAAAAGATGGTTCATATAGCCTGAAGGATTTTTTTACTTTTGATTCAGCTGCTTCACTGCAGTCCTGACCTGCCTGTCTATGGCTGCAAAGGCTGCCTTTTTTTGGTTTGGTGCTCAACGTAAGAAGGCCACGATGCAAATTCTCAGTGGCTTCTGGGAATATGTTGGTTTTTTTCAGCCTAATGGGTGTTTTGTTTCTGAGATGTGGAGTTACATATTTACTTCCTACCTTCTCACTGCTACTTAGCTCTTCATCTGTCTTTTTTTCTTCTTTTTCATATTCTTCCACTGCGTCTTTCTCTTGATTGTTTTCTTTTCCACTGTCACTTAGAAGAATTTCTTCAGTTTTCACCAGCTTTTTAATTTCCCATTTAAGCAAATCTGTCTCTTTTTCTTCTTTCATGAATTCCAAACAAGTATTCTCTTCCATCAGGAGTGTCCTCTCCCTTAAATAATCTAAAATGAAATATTGTGGCTTTTAGGAATGTTCTTAAATTGCCTAGGAACATAAAGACTCATGAAGCATTAATGAGCACAAGTTTCACTTCCTTTTCATTGCTGAAGTTGTTACGATTGATGGTATTTCAGTCTTGAGGTTATCACAATGCTATTTACTAGTAAATACAACGGGATGGGTCAAGATTTAAAGAAGATCATTTTAGCATTGAATTCAGGTAAATATTTTTATTTTTACCTTTTTCATTATGTTTGATTTTATTAAATGAATTAGCACACAAATATAATCAGTAATGGCTAAATAAAAGGCCAGAAAAGGCATGTAGAATGCAACAGAGAAACCACATGAGATCTGAAGTCTAATTGTCATTTTCTTGCTTTTAAATGGAACTTAAATATAGGTATGATTTTCATTCCCTTAATTGGCAATACAGTTGCTTGCATGGAGCAGAATATACTTTAACCTATAAGTGAGTTTTCTCCACTTTTTAGAAGAAAAATGTATGTGTACAATGAATGCCTACAGTGAAGTGTATGTCTGCTGCAGGGGCCAAATTGTAATCAGTTCTGTGCTGTGGAGAGGCTCACAGAGCACCTCCAAAATGAGACAGAGTCCAAGCTCAATGAAGAATTACATAGTTGCAGTAACTAAAATAGCTAAATCAGATTTCAGTGAGTCTACTACTGGCAGTGGGAGAAAGCCAGAAGAGAGCCTGGCAAACAGTGAGGAGAGAGACTCACAGACCAAATCAGGTGGCCTGTGTCTTCTCTCAGTTACAAAAGGGGATTTCAAAGATAAATGGTGACTGTGGTTCTCTGGTGGGGCCTGGAAAGGCAGAGCACAAAACACGGGAGTTAACTCATTCAGGATTGTTAGCTCTGTTGCTGGTGGAGTAAGTGACCTCAACAACCTGCTTCCCCTCTGTAAACGTGTGACCCTTGGGTCACGTAACGTCTCCTCCCGTTTGCAAAGTGTTTAGCACGATGACATTCAGATCTTGGTTCTTACCACAAGCCTTACTGCAATGAAAATCACATGCATATTTTTAGAAAGGAAAACTCAGATGGAAGAATAGATACACTGGCTCCTTCTTTCTTCTGTGCTATGAAATTTCGTCAAAATAAAGATTTATAGATGAGCCCCCTCTGTAGAACTGTTATATGAGAGCACAGTCAACAGCTAAGATTTACAAAAAATCTATTTTCAGTGATCATTGTAATGAGGAGATACTCCCACCCCATGAAAAGTCCTTTTCCTTTTTCAGCAACAGATTGTGGGCTACAAATGTATGTTGACATCAGCTATGATGAAGATTCACAACCAACAGTTTGAGATCAGTATTTGATCAGAGTGGAATTAGCAAACAAGTATACTATTACAGTAGAAGCACTGACTTTACCAACACGACCAGGAACTGCTTCTAGAAGGACAGCAGTATGAGCATGCCTTCCTAGACTATGGAGCTGCTCTCATATCAGTGCAGCACCACCAGCAGCTGGATCTCAAGTGACCCTTGTTGCACTAGTTCCTGCCAGTCAGGTGCCTGTCAGGCCCATGTAAATTACCAATGCCATCAGGTCATTCAAATTCCGATAAGATCAAATGAGTTTCTGGAAAAAAATTTAAAATATACCTCTACACATTCTGTTAAAAGTTTCTGGATTTTGTATTTTCTTGATTGATGACTTTTCTGTTCTACATCGGGCATCTGTGTAAGCTTCCTTTACTTTAGTAGTTCGATTCTTGTCTTCTGAAGACTTTTTCTCCTAAAATTGGCAATTACAAGTAAAAATAATGAGGAAGTACTTGTTTAATGACTTTTAAAATTACCCAGTCAGTGCAATACTTAATAAAAAGACCAGTAATTTATTTTACTATCATAATCTTATTTTGTATCATAACGTCTGTCCTATATATTTTCTGTAATATAATTACGTTCACACAAAATCCACATCCTAAAAAGTTAGGATGATGGATCAGGCTATTGAAGCATATGGAATAACATTCAGCTTAGCTGAGAGTTCAAACAAGGGATTGGATCCAGATCTTTCATACCTGTGTTAGATAAATTGGACTTTTTTCTTTCTCAGTTTGGTGCTGTGACAGCAGCAGTGATCCAAAACTCTGTTCATCTACTTGTACTGATCTGTTTATACTAAGACCTATTGAAAAAGGGCAACCGTTAGCAATGCAGTAGTTTTTGGAATTATATTGTTGGTATAAACAAAAGATGTCTTTGATGACTGATAATACTGGTATGTGGCCTAGGATTTAAACCTCTTTTTCTGCATGTCTTAATGCCCTTTAATAAAGAAATTCTTTGTCTGCTTGATCTATAAATGCTGACATTGGAACACCAGCTACCTGGACTCCCGAGCATTTTAATCTATACGTCAGTACATCATAAACAGACTTAAGTTTTAGATCTACGAAGTCCTGTTTGGATAGAGCATGCCAAATCAGACAAATGCGCCTATCCCCTAGAGCCCATACGGGCTTAATTTGTGTGGTAACATTCCAATGGAAATGTAACAAGTCTGGTATGAGGCCTCAGTTTTCAGGTTCCTAAATTTGGATCTTGCAGAGTAATAAACTCACTTTCTTTTATGCCTCCTGACTTGGTTACTCACCCTTCTCAAACTTCAGCACTTATGTAAGGGTTTATGGAACCAAACTCTTCAGAGGAAACGCATAGCACTGCTTGAAATATAGGTCTTTGAAAAGACATTCCGAGGGAGGGACTGAACAAAACATTTAAAGAAATGGCTGAATAGAGATGGGATGGGGAAGGTGACTATATTGTTCTTTTATTGTACATTTAGAATAATTTTGCCATGAATACAGTAGCAGAGAAAGTTGCTAGCGCAGCAGCAAAAATGTGATCTTACATCCATCAACATTCAACCTTATTCCCACTTTTGATCTCTGAAATCAGAGGAAGACTCTCCATAAAAATGGTGATTTTTCAAGTGTTTGCAGTTTGGTGGTAAAAAGGATGTGGATAACTAGTTTGAGGATTACTCTTGGAGGAATGGCTGTGATGATGTGGAGGGAACTAGTTTTTTCCTTTGGAAAGGCAACCAGCAGGTTTTTCAACAGAAGTCGGTGGCGCGTTCCTCAGATTCAGGGCTAGGGGGAGCTGTACCTCCAGATGAGCGGGTGCGACCTTCCCACAGCTGAACCAACTTTGCTCTCAGGAAGAGCTTATGAAATTAATGGCTTCATTCAATAAATCCATTTCATTTATGTATATAGAACTTTTTGATTACCTAAGCAAGCCTACCTTCAGCTATTTATCAGGAGTGTCAAAAAAAATGCAGCCCCATATTTCTTTTTTTCCTTTCCTGCTGGCTAAAAATTTTTGCAAATGCAGAATAGAAAATAGCTACTTGAAAAAATAGTTTTTTTCTAAATCTGTTACAGAAAAATTAAAGTCAATAGTGAAAAGGAAAAACAATTGTCAGCAATTCCAGTTCTAGGTTTCTAAATCATCTGTTTCCATTAACTGGCAGAGAATGAAGCATTTATTGGCCAAAAATACTAAAAGATCAGGCAACTTTGCTTGGAACCTTTTCATTACAAAATATCAGGTCTCCCTCCAACTAAGCTCCCTTATTTTTTCTTAAAGAAAATAAGAACTTAAATAATAAGCAGTGATTTAAATGCTGTAATTTAAATAACAATACTGTACAAGTCTATATGTGAGTAAAATTTTAAAAACCCACACGTTACGTGATGTAATCAAAACTGGAATTCAGAGCTCCATAAAAAGCATGTCTGACGTGGCATGAGAAGTAGGATTTCTGTTTCTTCATTTTACAACGTGAATTACCAACTTTTTCCCCATTAGTTCACGTGGAGTTAAGGCAGAGAAATGGATTTGCAGAGGCATCAAAGACAAAAGAAAAGCAACTGACTATGATAAGACTTTGTACTGATACCGTAATTTGAAGAATTCTGTGGGCACACGCAAGTTTTCCAGCAGATATGTTTGCTACCTTGTAAATTTTAAGTGCTTTTCTGTACCCATAAGAAGAAATTTCCAACTCCTCCTTCCATTTAGGAGAGGGAATATCTGACCAGTATTTCAAAGATGTGCTTAACCCAGGAAAGTCCGTGTACAGCTGGTTAACCAAAATTAAGGGTGTAAGCTTGTTACGCTGAAAGCTCTCCTTTAGGATATTGACAGAATGTTGATGATCCTTGAGCAGGAGGAAAATTACTTTCAATGTGGATAAAGTACTTGAAAAATGCTTATTAGTTGCTGTTGAAATGCATTTATTAGTAAATTCTAGGTACTACATCTTAAGCATGTGACAATTATAAATTTAAATGCTTTAAGAAAACTAGGATTTTTCCCTGATTTGTCCCAGATGAATATAGCAAGCACATGGGCAGCATAATAGTTCCTGGCTTGCATTGTTTGTAATTGTTTTTAGCTGTTGCTCCCTCAGTTCAAGGGGTGGGATCCAGTTGTCTGAACACAGGCACCTCATGCAATTTGAGATGCCCTTGAGTGCTCAGAGTATCCCCTTAAGGCTGGCCACTATTACACAGGACCGATGGGACGCCCGTGTCCCTCTGGAACAGCAGCTACAGGGCCAGGCAGAATGTGCTAGGACATCTCAAATGGCACTGGATGCCTATAATTAGGCAGCTGAATCCCACACAAAGTCACTGCTCTTGGAATGTTTGCTAGACAAGACTGCATATAATACCTATATATTGGATGCTCCAATACCTGCCTGAGCATCCACGTGAAAGAAATTATCTTTTCTAAAGAGCCCTTTCTTCCTTGATATGATTACTTTCTATTGTTCTTTCCTGTCATTCTACTATATTATTGCTAAAACACCTAAATTCTGTGGGTAGAATTGGGAGGATAGACAATAACTGGGTTATTACAGTCCGGTTGACCATTTCAGGTTACTTATGCTAACAAGCAAAAGAGTGTTAAGGACAAACATTCTCTTCTCTCAGATAAGCTGACAGTATGATCATCAGACTGGCCTTTCAACTTCTGAAACCTTCTGTCTGAAATCTCCTCCTTGCCTTTCACCCCCCAAAAAATGCAAGTTACAGGAGCTTCAATAATGGACATCGAAGCATTTCTGCTATTTGTAAGTTACAGGGTCTAAGGATTTTAAGGTGAGAAAACAGTTTTTAAAGACCCAATTAGATTAATTATTTTTGCTCATATAAAAGCACTTTGAAAGTCTGTACTAAATCTTGCTGCAGGAGAGTTGTTTATGAGGTGTCCTGAGTTAGCGAGCCATGTAGTGGGAATTCCAGGCATAAGGTGGCCACTTCTCAGGCTAAGTCAAAGCAAACAGCCTGCACAGAAATTAGTCTGCAAATGCTTTGTGGACTGAGAGCTTCACCTTGTTAAAAAACAAATATGCCAACAGCTCTTGATGCAAATAGACACTTAAAATAGCAGCACTGTTTCGGTGTCACTGTTAGCATACTAAACCCACATATGCTAAATGCTGTTCATAATGAAAACCAGATTAAATATTAAAAACGGGTCACGTATTAGTATTCATAAAACAAATGAGCAAACCCCCAAGCTCCAATCTTTAAATTACATGTGACAGAATATTTTTACCCCATACAAAAGTACTACATTGGCTTTTATTTTGGAATATACCTCCCCATTATAAAACAATGTAAATTTCACAAAACTAAACCAAAAAGGAATATACATGTACTTTTTTCATGAGTTACTGAATCACTTTTTTCTTCCAGGATTTTAGGCATCTTATTTGCATAGATATTATTTACATAAAGTTGCCGATCCTTTTCCTAGGAAGAAATAAACACTCAAACTTCTAATAAGCATTAAGAATTACTTTTTACCAAGCTAATGTTCCTGTGTTGGAAGAAAATTGTCAATGATTTTGCTTTGTGCCAAGAAACATGGTGACTTTATAATTTACATAAATAGGATTCCATCATTTTCTTTCGTGAACCAAATCAAAATTCTCCCTTTTAAAGGCTAAGCATACATATGTACATCTGTATGATCTTTTTCATAAGACAATGTTTGGAAGATGAAATCTTCTCTAATGATTTTTTTCCTATGTTGTTCTGGGTTATTTTTTTGGACTAAGTAATTTTTGGCTTCACTTCCCTTTCTTTAAACTTAAATACTCAGTGCCCTTGATTACAGTGTGCTCAGTGCTGTTTTACAACCTATTGTTTGGGAAACGACATAAGCTTCAGAAGCATAGTTTTGAAATTTATTGAGCAAGAGTCCTCTTACTGAAATTTGTCTTAAACACAGAAGAGAGATTTCAATAACACTCTCACCATATCAGTTTTTAGTGAAAAATTTGAGCTGCATTTACTTTTGAGATGCAGCTTGTCCTGAAAGAATGTCCAAATACCTTGAATGGTCTGAATAAGCCAGGCACCCAAAACTAAGGATGTGTAAGAATGCTCCCTTATGGCACAGAAACAAGGTTAATAAGGATGTCTGGTCTTCTTTGTGATAAAAAGATAGAAAGTTTTGAGAATCTAAATACAACATTAAGAGAACTGGACACATATAAAACCGTGTGGAAAACATGAAACAGAAATATTATAGAGAAGCATTAAGGTGGGAACTGTGCTTTAGAATAACCTACACTTTGGAACAGTTTTACATGAGTGTTCTTGGGCCTGTAATCGTTCCCATCTCCTGGGTCTGCACATGACATACCATTCATGGCAGTTTTGGTTTTGTTTCTATTTAGCGTCACTTTTAGGTTTTCCTGTATGTTTGGTTTACAGGCATTACAGCAAGTGTTAAACTGCACATATTTGTCCCAAAAATATTTGTCTAAAACCCAAGCTGGAATTTAAACTATTGAAATATTTACATAAGTCTTTCTGTTAAATTCTACTTTTGCATATTGTAATACTTGGCTCATTTTGGTTTGAAAGTATTTCTGTAAGGGAGCTCATTTTAGAAGTATAGTAGAGTAATATATTGACAGAGATCTACCAGAACAGTAACAACTTGGTGTGGAGTTTTTGCTCAAATTGTGGTTTATTAATCTCTCTTTTATTTAGTTACTGAACTATTTTGAACTTTCAACAGACCCTACAGTAATTTAAACATTTGATATTTTGACTGGTTTTGGTACACTATAGACTCAACCAGGGGAAAAAAAAATCATTACTAAATAATATAAAAGAGACAAAAGGAATAGGTAACATTAAGTACTTGAATTTTCTTGTAGGAACAGAAACCTGTTTAAAATCTTGAATACCTTAATTTTTTGGTGAAGAGAGTTAATTTCCATTTGCAAGTTCTTTGTAATTATCCCAGCTTCCACAACTTTTTTGTTCTCATTTGCCAGTTGATGACTAAAGGTGCTATTGTTCAACTTCAGCTGCTTTTCTAGACTCTTAAAATAAAAAGCATATGATAACATGTGGATGTACTTAGTATGGCTGCTGAAAAACTGCAGTTCTTAACAGATTTAAATAATAAGTGTGCTAATATAATGAAAAGTAATCTTCCAATAGTTATATTCAATTGTAAACAATGCATGAAATTATGATGAAGTATCTGAAAAATTACATTACAAATTAGTTTAACACATAATTTTACCAAACAAAAAAGTATATTTGGCATGCAAACATAAATAAGGCTGCACATTACCTTTTTAATGGATTAATTAATACAATTATCTTTGAGAAACGTTAATACAACCTTTCTGTTCACACTGAGGTCTATTAACTGCAGCAGCATAAAGAGGCTTAGTATAAATGAAAATAAGGTAATTTATTGAGTACTTTATCAAGTATTTTATCATCAGAATCCAGTGCCATGCACTGAAACTATAGTCATTAAAATTGTAAAGTGGACATCAAACCTGGCACGCCTTATATAGCTTCTCACTGGGACATCTGTAAATAAAAAGTTTTCAAAAGAGAGTCTGAATGCAGCCATTTGTATTATCATTTTCTTTAATGTAATAAATGCACTTCAGACCTTGCTGTTCAGATGATATCTCTAAGATTACCTGTCTTTTTATTGCATAATATATCCCACAGAAGATAGAAATTAAATTTCTGGATGACAATGGAAATTTCACTCTTCTAGTTTTATATTAAAAACTGTACTCCTGTCTTTCTGTGAAAGGTTCAATAGGAGTAAAGAAGCACAAGATATTAAAAGGAGCTGAACTGTCTCTTCTTGAACTCCCACCAGGCTTTTACTACAGTCGCATGATACACCAGCTGTAGAACCAACCCTAAAGTCTAGGACACCCGACTGCTACTTGATTGCAGATGATCCAGCTTTGATTGCTCAAGGAAGTAGACCAGCAGCAGCCTGGTGGTCTCCATGTATCTTGTGCTTTGCCAAGGCAAATTAGTGTCTGAGCTATTTGTGGCTGCACGGCCCAAGCAAGCCTGAAAGGTTGTTCTCCAGCTGTGTGCAACGCTTCTGACCTAACAGGGTTAAGGCATACGACAATTCCTAAAAGATCTTTATTGCCAAACAATCTACTCACACATTTTTGCCAGATTTTAAACTACTGGGAGGGGGCACTACTGCCATTTTTAGTACCTTACACTCCAGTCAGCACTGAATTAAAAAGAATTTACAATGTTACAGGATTGTATCACAATCATGAATGTGACAAGAAGCAGTAAAAAACTTTCCACGGTTTTTGCACAGAAACCTCTCCTGTTACTTTTCACAAATACAATGATAGGCACATATTACCTGTATTCTCTTATCATTCACTTCCATTTTTTCTGTAAGGACTGATAATCTGTGCTCAAGTTCCTCTCTCTCTGCAAGAGTTTTATCTTCTGAAAGCATATGCAAGATTTGCAAAGCCTCTTTAGTTTTTTGCAGCTCTGCTTCAACTTTTCTGAGCTTCCTAGATGAATTTCTCTCATCCTTCTGAGACATCCCCAGGAGCTCCTGTAAAGTTTTCACCTCATTATAATGACGTGCTAAAAGACCTGGCAAGTTGCTTCTACCTATTGCTTTCGAGTGTCGACACTGAAGCTGTTTCAAAAAGTGGTTTTCTAAGCTTAATGCTTCTAATTTGTGTTCTAAATCAAATATTTCATTCTTCAGGTCTTTAATTTTGTGAGGTCTTCCTGATGATATTTGCTGAGATGCTGAGGTTTTTTTCTGGGAAAGCATATCACTCTGCAGACTTACAAATGCAGAATTCTGATGTGGTATCTTCTCAGCTGGCAGTTTTTCTCCTGCTGCATTGAGACAACAGTAAACTGGCATTGATATATAGCAATCATTTGAGGCAGCAAACTCACTGTATGGCTTTACTAGTCATGTAAACTCAAGCAGTGCTCATCCAAGCTACTTAACTGTGGTGTATTTGACAAAATGTCTAAGATCTATACTAAGACTCTAATGTTGAAGCATTTCACAGATAAATCCATTAAAGATTTTAAATCTCTATGTGTGCATTTACGTGGTTGCACTGGGCCATAGCTAACTAGGTCTATAGCAGGTCAAGGTTGCCTTCTTTCATTCTCTGAAGCCTTTTTCATTTGAAACAGCCAATGTGCTCACTTTCCATTAATAAAGTTATCTACACAGGTGGTGTCTTCTGATGTAAACAGCAGTACTACTCTGTGAATAATTGAGTAGAGTATGTTTATGTTAACACACTACTCCAGTATCAATGGAAATAAATGTTCCCTCTCTAAGTCATGCGCTTCACTAATGTAGGCATGATCTGGGGACTGAGGAATCAAATTCAACCCATCTAGAAAGATTCCCAAGAAGGAGGACCTACATACTGATCAGGGGTGTGAAAAAAAAAAAAAAAATCATTATAGGCATCTACAGATCTTCAAGAACTCAAAATCAAAGGTGATCACAATAAGACATGGTTAAATTTCTCTGCAGAGAGGATTTCTAACCAGCTTTCTAGAATTTTCAAGTCATCTTTGAATTGAACAACATGTTTAAACCTTACATCTTCTTAGTATAGAACAGTTTGTGTACACTGCTTCTACACAGCAATGGAAAAAACCTTTACGGGCTAGCACTCTAAGTGTATTACTGCCATTTGCCTTTTTTTATGGCCAGCATTCTGAGTGAATTACTCTCATTTTCCTTTCCTGAAACATAATTAGAATTTGAAAATACTCAAGGCTGTAAATCTGAGTGTGTCCCCTTTTTCAGGCATATATTCAATTTCACTTTAGCTCTCAAGTAATTTCAGGCAGTATTTTGCTAGAAGTTTCTTATAATGATTTATAGATCACATAACATTTTATCGATAAATTAGGCAAGGTCCTAACCTAAAAAACACCAGAGGAAAAGAACAGATCTGTTCAAGAATTTCTGTCGAATCCAGTAGGTGTTCTGCACACAGACTTTCCAGGAGGAGTCCCCAACCAGAACACCCCATTGCGGGTGGGAAGCAACATCACCTCAGCGGCAGGGAAGGCCAAGGAAGGCTGGGAGAGAGGGAGGGAGGGCAGAGCCTGAAGGGCAGCCTGGGCCTGACACCCAAGTGCCAGCTCTGCCAGGCAGCAAGTTAAAGTATGGAGTTACACTATCCTGTCTGTCTTTTGCTCTTATTACTGAAACACCTGATCCGTTTCACCATCCCAGGCTACAAACTGCATGGTCTTTGTTCTGATGGCCCTGCTGATAGAGGAGAGAAAGCCGGGACGAGCTGAGAGGACCTTACTTATAGAGATACATGGGCAGGATTGACTATCAAAGTCAATGGGAAAGGGAAAGGGAAAGGGAAAGGAGAGGAGAGGAGAGGAGAGGCGAGGAGAAAGGAAAGGAAAGGAAAGGAAAGGAAAGGAAAGGAAAGGAAAGGAAAGGAAAGGAAAGGAAAGGAAAGGAAAGGAAAGGAAAGGAAAGGAAAGGAAAGGAAAGGAAAGGAAAGGAAAGGAAAGGAAAGGAAAGGAAAGGAAAGGAAAGGAAAGGAAAGGAAAGGAAAGGAAAGGAAAGGAAAGGAAAGGAAAGGAAAGGAAAGGAAAGGAAAGGAAAGGAAAGGAAAGGATCTGTGACTAGGAGTCAAAGGGAGGAAAGCCTATGAACTGGGCATGGCAGTTCTATTTTTTACATATGTTTTAAATGGATTAAGAAGAACTATGATGGAGGTTCAAGTAAACAGAGAAGGAATTAGTCATTTGAGGTAAGACATGTTCAAGACCTTCTGCAGTGAGGAAAATTAACAGGTGCTGTCAAAAAAAAAAAAACAAAAACAAAAAACCCAAACCAAACAAACAAAAAAACCACGAACAAACAAACAAAACAAAAACAAACAAACAAAACAAAACAAAGAAAAAAAAAAATCACCAGAGGTAAAAACCAAAGCAAATGGAAGTTGTGCAAGCATCATACTTGCATGTTCTCTGTGATGCCATTCCACTGCAGGAAGACTATGGTATGACCACAGATGTTGTCACACAAATATTTGCAAAAACCAATTCTACATCACTATTTTGCTTTGCCAGTATGGAATGAGAAGATGTAAAAGAAATGGGAAAATACCTTTCTGCAAAAGCTGACAAAATACTGTAAAATATATACACATCTATACATGGGGAAACTTTGGGTTATAATTGTGTTCTTGGGAAACTGATCATTTCAAGTAGCCATGAACAAGTAAAAATAACCACTTAGAATATCCAACACAGCCAGTAGCCAATAATGATTCTTCTGCTAAATAGATTTTAAAAACATGTTTATTCTTTCTGGTCTGCTAGTTTTATGCCATTATGACTTCTTGACAGCAGCATATAACTCATACAATAAATGAGATAATCAGTGGTTCCTCTCTCTTTTTTTGTTTGATTTGCATTTTGTAGGTTTGGTAGATCCAGAGGAAATTTTGAATTGGAAAAGGGCCATCGGTTTTACACTCATTTTTTGACATGGCATGGTGGGATTTAAGAAAGTATGGGTCTAGATATGAAAACACAAAAGATTCTTCACTGTTAACATTTACATAAAGGGAATATGTTTGAGCTATATGGTCATTCCATTGAAGCACAAGTTAAATTTTACATGATACATCATGACTAAGCTGGCCAGAACAACTTTTTTTGGTCAACACTGACACTTTTGTGCGGACGTGTAATTTTTGACATGTAAACTTTGCTTAGGAAAAGCTTTGTCAGACTCGTCATGTGATGCATAGCCAAAACCAGAAATTGTGATATTTGTGGGAGAGCTATTTTCAAATCCTCAGATTAAAACTGCAGAATAAGGATTGCAAAAGTGCTCATACATCTCAGGCAATTATCCTGCCTCTTGGATCGCTGAGTACTGTAGAATAACACAATGGGGCATCTCTCTCTCTCTGGCCTCCCCCTTCTAGTGCTCAAAACATTATTTATTAATTTTCTTTCCTGAAAAAATGTTCTCCTTGTCTTCCTAATTACTGAAAAAAATGCCAAAGAAAGGGAACAGCTATATTGCTCAAGAGAGTCTCATTTTACTACTACCAGAAAACAAAGTACCTTTTTTATCATCTTGGGGGAAGATATGCTGTCCTTTTTTCTTTTTTTCCTTTTCCTGTCTTGTCTTCTCTTCAGCTCCTGGTATTTCTAAACATTTTCTGCTTCTAGCTGTTTCAGAGCAACTCTCTGACAAAGGCCTCAGAAGAGTTAGCATGAGAATTTTCACTTCTGTATTCTCTGCTGCATCGCCTACAATCATTGCCTCTGCTACAGATGCTGCTTCTGATACTTCTGTGCTTTGAGGAATCTTCAGTATCCCTGCTTTTTGTACCATGTTCTGACTTATTATCTTCTGTTATTAAAATATGGAGGAAACAATCATCTGAGTTCACCAGTGTATTATTGTAGAAGACTTAAACTTGACCTCCATAACCTATTAGGAATCAGAATGTTACAGAGTTGTTTAGAGTTAACATAAACAATACTAGACACTGTTCAACTATATTAAGTAATGCTAAGAAATGCTAAGTCTTCTTAAAAAAAAAGCCCAGTCATTTCCCTTTAACTCATAAAAATAATCTTGTGGTCTGCAGTAGGGTAAGTTTGTTTCCAGAATGAATTGCAAAAAAAAATATACTAGTTTTTATCTCAGAATTTACTATGATACTAACATCTCTTTTCCAAAGATTTACAAGGTATTGCCATTTAAATGTAAATAGATACCATAGCTTGTTTCCTGTAATGTGTACATTTTTTCCATGATCGATGTAATTTAAAAGAAGCATAATTGTATTTATGCTCAATACCTACAAAGACCTTTACAATATTAAAAAAAAAAAAATTGTTCATATCTCTAAGAACTGGACATTTCTAAGTGGTTTTGTAGTATTTTTAGCATTCTGTTCATGTAATAAAAAATAATCTAGTCATATTTTTTGATAATTAGATCACAAATCAGATCACAAAATCAATTTAGATATTAAAATAGAAAAAAAAAATCCTAGCTGCCACATTAACATTATAGGTAGAGGATACAGCAGCACTTAAAGCTGCACAACAGAGTATCTGACTTAGAGACTGAAATACACGTTTTCTTAAATTATGGGATGTTGCTTATTTATTTTCCGATCAGAATTGTTTGTAAAAACAAATACGCCTGCTAAATAAAACCTCACAATGTAATAAAAGTTTCTCTGCACAATTTCAGAAGAAATACTAGGGAAAATTTTAGTGTTTTTTTAATGGAAACAATTTCTTCACAGCCTAGCGGTACTTGACACATTTGTTTGCTTTTGAAAGTGCTGCAAGAGACTTATCTCCATGTCTACACACCCATATGGCTCAGAAAACAGCACCTGTAATGCACTGTTGTTGTCAGAGATGTGGTTTTCTGATGAGATGATGGTCTCATTTTGTTTGATCAGGTTCTAACATTGCTGCCTCCTCTAGAATTGTCATTTCTCAGTAGTCCAATTTTCAAACCAAACAACCTCTCCTAATGGTTTGACTTTTTTAAAAAAATGTATTTATCATAAAATATAGAATACTGACTAATTTTCTGTCTTTGTGAACATCTGTTACATCTCAGTTATTTTCCCAGCTGGGGCTACTGGAGAGTAGAACAGATAGCTTCATATTCCTGGCAGCATTACTTAAACACTGGTTCTGGTAAAAATTATTTCCTGGGATATTGTTCAATACCTTTCAGTTACTTCATATCACATGAATACTATTCAGACCATAGTTTTATAGATGCAGAATTCTACTCAGTAGTAGAATAAGCTGCATATTTGGAGGGGGTGTCCTACATAGCACACAGCAATTAGGCAAAAGAAATTTGAGGGGAGCTAATGTTTTAGTTCAGGTGGATTTCAGCAAGTTGCCTTTACTACAAAAATAAGATATATTTTTAGAACATTCTCATTCCTTTGTTGGCTTTGTGGTGGCATTTTTTTTAAAACTAAATTGAATTTCTTAGAGGGGAGAGGGGAATCACATAACTCCCAAAGAAAATTCTAAAGTGTAATTTAGGATTGCACAAAATGGCCTAGGCTGAATCAAACCAGTTTCATTACTCTTCATTTTCTTACATGAACTCTTACTTGGGGAAGACTGAGGAAAGTCCAGGATCTTACTAAGTTTGAGCAAGTGCAATAACTCCAAAGAGATGAGAACTCATGTTTTAGATTAGATGAAGGTCGGCTTGGTACATAGATTTGTATTTCTGTATAAATTTGCTTTGGTACTGTCAACACTTTCTGGCCAAATTGTCTTTAAATCAAATTAGCCTAGATTAAACTCAAAACTACTGCTTTAGTTTGCTTTGATGAGAAGTGTGGGCTGAACTTCACCACTCAGCCTCAAGAGCAGATGTTGAGCAGTAACTAAAATGGAACAGAAGACAAGACATAAAAAAAGGTGAAGGACATGAAACCGAGAAATGAAGAAAAAAATCAATAGCTGAAGGAAGGCTGAAGTGGACAAACACTAGGAGAATGTATGTTGAAGGAAGAGATGCAGGAACAAAAATAATTAGGTCCAAATCTATCTGTCAAAGATGCAAATGCCATTTCAAGCATCCAGAAACTGCAAAACGGTCATGGGGAAGAATTAATTGTGGTCTGTGTGCAAAAACAAACTAAGTGAAGGGGGAGTCCTGCTGGGAGAGCCCTGAGCCCCAGGGGAACCACGTCGAGTGCCAGGGCCCATTTGCTCACACCAGAAGGGTGAGAGTGTACCCAGGGCCCTCAAACCTGGCTCCTGCAAGGGCCCCAAACAGCTCCCTGGTGTGGTCCACACAAACCAGAGCTTCACCCACCCCTCACAAATGCAGGGTTCCCTAGAGTCCTGGTGGGTCCAACTGCTACCTTGCTCTTCACAACCCCCTCAGAGGCCTCAAAGCCCTGCAGCCCCCTCAACACCAGAGCAGCCCCCTCCCCCGATGCCTTGACAATCAGCACCCCGCCCCAACAGCCACCTCAGCACCTTAACACCCAGCCCCAGGTCTTGACAGCCACCCTGAGACCCTGCCACCCAGCCTGACACTACCCTGCTCTGCTCTCCCTGTCCAGAGATGGAGAGCCGCTCCCCACCACTGGGCACCCCTAGGCAGGCAATCATAGAATGTTTTGTGTTGGAAGGGACCTTTACAGGTCATCTAGTCCAACACCCCTGCAGTGAGCAGGGACATCTTCAACTAGATCAGGTTGCTCAGAGCCCTGGCCAACCTGGCTTTGGATGTTTCCAGGCATGAGGCTTCTACCCCTGTGGGCAACTTGTGCCTGTGTTTCACCACCCTCATTGTACAATGTATCTTCCTTATATCTAGCCTAAATCTACCCTCTTTTAGTTTCAAGCCATCACCCCATGTCCTGTTGCAACAGGCCTGCTAAAAATTCTGTCTCCATCTTTCTCATAGGCCACTTTAAGTACTGAAAGGCCACTATAAGGTCTCCGCAGAGCCTTCTCTTCTCCAGGCTGGACAATCTCAAATCTCTAAGCCTTTCTTCACAGGGCTTTACTTGATCTGATAATTTTCGTGGCCCTGCTCTGGACGCACTCCAGCAGGTCCATGTCCTTGCACTGAGGACCCCAGTGCTGGACGGAGCACTGCAGGTGGGGTCTCACAAATCCCGCCTTCCTTTCTCCCCTCTCGAGAAACGTCCTCCGCCCTTCCCCACCTCCGCCCTGCCCCGGCCGCACCGTCCATCCAGGCGTGCCCCGTCCCCTCCGGCCCCCCCAGC